GCTTATGCTACCTAAAGGGTATTCCCCAGATCCGGGTTAGGATCTATGAAACTCCGATGCAAAGCCCATAAATATAAAAGCAAACAAAGCAAGCAATTGAAAACAAGAGTGGTCTAATCCTAAGGTACACCCCACTTTTTATCTCCCCAGCAGAGTCGCCAGTTCTGTGATACGGTGGGAGAACTGACTTGAGGTTTTGCGTTTGTTTTCGCAAATGTTTCGGTTTAGCAAGAGTCTCCACCGACTTTTTATTTTATCCTAAAGGAAAGGTTAAAAAGCACAGGAAAAAACCTTTTGAGATGTTTTCTTGGGTTCGGGGGGTAGATTATAGAAAGGGAAGGTATTAGCACCCTTTCTATCCATGGTTATCCATGGGCTCTTAGTTACTTGCTTAGATCACTTGCCTTTGATTTTCAATTGTTTGAAATGGTGCTTTCAATTGTTTGAAATGGTGCTTTGTGTGTGGGTTTGAAAATGTTTTGAAAAGAGGCCATTGTTGTGGCAACCTTTGTAATGATCCATGTTTGAATGTATACAAAGGTGTTTGTCTTTTGAAAAGTTTTCAATGTTTTTTTGAAAGTTGTTTTGAAAGTGTGTTTGTGATGTGTGTTTTGAAAAAGTAGGCAAGTGTGTTTTGCAAGTTTTGATCAAGTAACTAAGAGTTGTCTATCCTAAATTTCTCAAAGATCTTTCCTATGTTTTAACCCTTTTAACAGTATTGTTCCACCATTGTATTTGGTGGACAATCTTGTGTTAGGATGTTAACGAGACAGGCGCGGGTCATCGTATGGACCATGAATGCAATGGTGCCAAGTGTCTTTGGCAATTTTTCCTTTAAGGGACTTGATCATTTTTTAGGCAACTTTTGAAAGCGTCATCGAGGGACTATGATCATTTGAATTGTTTTGTTTTGCCAAAGACACCCAACATGCAACATGGCCCATTTTGGAAGGCAACAAGTGGAGTAACCCTAAGGGTGCAAGTGTGATTGGTGTTGTCCATTTTCATGCTTTTTTATCTTTGAATTAGGTCAAGCTATTTGTTATTTTTTATTTGCATACCAACCCTAAGTCTATCATGGTATAATTTGAAAGCTTTAAAATGCGGAATTTAAAGTCCTAAATTATTACAACATAATTATGGGGATGGGGGTACAAATGTTCAAATGGGGATGAGACTTTAATAGGAGAGTAGTGTCCAAATATTTACAACCAAATCGAATCAATCGCAATGTAAAATATAATATATAGCAATGTATAAGAATAAAGCAATGTAAATGTGTCAATGTATTTGTGTATGTGATTTATTTACAAGTGATAATGATGTTAACTTAATGAAAAAAATTAAGTATTTATTTGTTTTTTTGGATATTTTCATGGTTTAGGGCAAAACCCTAATTTTGCAAATAAATAGTATTTATTATTTATATCATGTACAATATTTATTAATTATATACAAAAAATAAATAAAAGGGAAGTATATTGTAAAAAAGTAATTTTTGAGATTAAATATTAATAAAAATAAAAATGTATTATTTTTATATTTTTATCCTAAATATTCTAATAAATATATAGGTATTTATGTTATATATTAACTATACTAAATATATAAAAAAAAATATTTATTATTTATCAAAAAAATGTATTTTAAGAAAATGTTTTCAAAGGATAAAATAAAATAATAACTGAAAATAAATATATTTTGTATTATTTTTTAGTATTTTAAATAAAAGTATATATATTATTTTATATGTACAAGTGTAAACAAAACAAATAAATTCAAAATAAATGCAAAAATGTATGGAAAAATATTTTTAATATTTTTTATGTTTTGACAAAAAATAATAAGTCAGGAGAAAAAATCAAAAATCAAAAATGATTAAAAAATCACACAATGGGTCAAGGGGGTGTAAGTGTAAAAAGGTGGTGTAAACAGAAAAAAAAACAAATCAGGCCCAGCCCAAAGAGGCTTGTCTTCAACCTCCAGTCAGTTTCAAACACAAAAACGCGCGTTTTCTTCCATCCTTGCTATCTCTTGATCCTTTGACTTTTAACAAAAACTTATAACATCAAAAATGTAGAGCATCAAACCACGAATTCATACATATAAAGAACTTGATCTAACTATCAGAAATGAGAGAGAATTTCTTCTCCCCCAATTCCTGACCTAACTTTTGTTCAATGTTCAGGTTCAAAATTCTCTCAGCACACACAACATAAATGAAAAGTGAGGATATGGGTAGCTTCAGGGCCATGAGTTGGACATAATTTCTTCACAAACCTAAGCCTAGATATGCTTGGATAGAGAGATAGAAGTTCAAACTTTTACCTGTTCAGCTTGAGTCGTGCACAACAATGGAGGTGCTTTCAATGAAGTTTGAGGACTTGTACATCTTGCTTGAGGTCCAAGGATGCTCTTCCAACCTCTAGCTTGCTTTGAAACTAACTGAATCGAGCTATGTGACTCAACCTGCACAACTGAAAAAATGAAAATGGCAAACTTGGTTAGGGGTGTTACAGTCTGTAGCTAGGGCTTGGGATAGTTTGTATGGATGATGTAGGATGTGTTTGAACTGATTTGGATGAAAACGCACGATGGAATGATGCTGGCCAAGTTAATCTGCAACAGGGACTCTGTTTTGTAGAAAAAATGTGCTTTGATGGATGAGGAGGTATTGAGGGTCAAGGGCTCGTGTTCTAGGTCAGTTAGGGGATATCAAATGTGTTCACAAAGTTTGCTTGAGTTGGTTCTTGCAGGAATGTGTGTTGTGGTACAAAATGCAAGTTTTCTTCTTATCTAAGCAAAGTTTGTCAAACTTGATTATAGGTTACTACAGGCCCCTCAAGCATGCTGCAAATTTAGTTCTTGATCATTGGGATATGTCCATAATCTTGTGCCCAAAAGATCTGGCTTGTACCTCTTTGATTTGTGTTTTGACATAAAGTGCACCTTTTCAAAAATGGCTAAAATGCTTTTATCCATTTTAAGACTAATCCTTTGTGTAATGACTTAATGAACAAGATAATGCTAGGGCACAAAGGTTTTGCATTAAATTATTGAGTGAGAATGGGATTAGAGGCCTGTAATCTAGCTTGGATCATGCTGAGTTCAAAATGCCAATGTTATGTACATGAATTTGGCCATGAACAAAGTGACTTTTGCCCATCTTGACAAATTCGAATGTCCCTAACCACAAGGGTGTTTGATGAGTTCTTGAACAATTTGGAAAGCTTGGAATGTGTACTACAATCCATCTTTGTAATGCAAGTTGGAATTCCAAGTGGAAGCATGTGAAAAGTGACCATGAAGTTGGGCAAAAACCCTGCCTAAAATAGGTCAAAAAAATTCTAAGTTAAGAATGTTTTGCACCCCTATTCCAAAAAATCATAACTTGAGCTACAAGCTTCTTTTGAGGAAACTTTGTGAATCAAAGTTGTAGATTTTGCAATGGACTACAACTTTCATGTTTTGAGTTTTGTTTGAATCCAAATATATCTTGATGAAAAGATGGGACAAAGTTAGGAAAAAATTAGGAAATTTCATAACTTAGAAAATTTCTAAGTTATGAAATTTCTTCATTTCAAACCCTAATTTGTAATTCTTGGTTTCTTGATGAACAAGTTTCATAATTTGACATGTCTTGATGAAAAATAAATCTTGGCACTTGATTTTGACCAAAAAGTCAAAGTTTGACTTTTCAGTATACAATCAAATTTTGATCAGTTGACTGGAAAATTCATCTGTCAATCTTGTGCATTTGGGATCTTTTGAACTTGTTGAATGTGTCAAGACCATGCCATTGAGTCCTTGAGTCCATATGTGAGCTTGATTTGCCATTGGCTAGGTCAAACAGTCAAAAATTGCCTTTGTGCAGTCAAAACCCTAAAAATGACCATTTTGCCTTTTTGGTGATCTGAACAAATTTATTGTGGAATTGTGATCCAAACTTGACCAAATGGTTCATATGAGTTCATAATGTTGATGTGGGTCAAAAATCATGAAGTTTGACTGTCAATTGGCCACATTTGACTTTTTCCCCAATACAGCTGATTTCTAGGTCAACTGTCCAATTGACTGGGCAAAGATTGGAATCAAGGCTTGAAACTTGGTATGGATAAACTTGTGAGTCCAACATGAAACATGAAAGTCACTTTGGGCATTTCAGGTCAAAACATCTTTGTGCAAACTCAAACCCTAATTTGGGTCAACAGTGCAAGGAGGAGTTTTGAGCAGAGCAAATCCTAACTTGTTCTTGAACTCCAAGGGTCTAGTGATGAGGAAATGTTGAGGAAGTGAGAGGGAAAATTTTGGGGTACAACAGTCAGTAACATAAATATTTGTAAGTGAAATTTACAAGTTGATTTGTTGAAATAATAAGAGAAAAGTTATAAAAGTTAAGAAAACATGTTTAAAATTAGACTTAACAAATTAAATAATTAAAGTAAACTCTTCACTTATTATACTACATATTTTCCTTCTCTCTTAAAAAAATCATTTTTAATTAATTTTTTTTTTTTTTTTATATTTTAAGATTTTAATAATAACATATTATTTCGGCCTGATTCATAAGAGAGAAAAATGATAAATTTAAGCTTATTAAGAAAGATAGTTAATTTTATATTTATTTATTTTTGGTTTCATATAAGAGAAATAAGTCAATTATGTATGTATTTTTATTGAATTTGTCAACCTGTAACTATATAATAAAAATATTAAATGTGTTGGTGATGGGTTGAATGAATTTGTTGGGACTCTGGTGAATATAATGATGATGATGATGTTGGGTACCCTAGTGACAATGAAAAGGGAAGTGTTCTAGATCCTCGGTAAAGACGTCCAACCAAAGAAGAGAGTTGAGGAGGATTCTTACTTCAGACCAATAATGTTGAACCAGCCACAGCTTCTGATGACCCTATTGGTCTAAGAATTGCTGAAATGTATGGTAATTATTTAATGGCTAATATGATGGACAATTGATGGATGAAGAAGAATTAAACCTGATGTGTGCAGAACCTATCTGGAAAGGCTTTGCCCCTCAAACAAATGAGCTCATCATGCTAGGAGATGGGAATATATTAAATGATGGCTTAAGATCACAATTAGAGGATATTTATATGGATGATCATCATCAACATAACATGGTGAGAGTCAACAGTGATGCAGTAGATGTTGGTAGGGAAGTGCGTGAAAGTTTGGTTGGTGCCTACCTCCCACAAGTCCCTGGGGTCAAATAACTGCATTCTAGATGAAACAGATAATTATCTTAATGCATTTTTGGAATGTGATCACACTCTTCCTTCATACAAGTACATGCATACATGTTTGGTATCTTAACCAATTTATATTGAAATTGGTGTTTGCTGAGTAAGTGGTTTATTAATAATGTACAGGAAACCAATAGGTTAGAATACTTGATTCCGAAAAAGACATCGTTGAGGCATAGATTGCCTATGGTAGAAGAAGGGTTCATTGAGTTTGTTGGTGATTTGCTTCAGATCAACCCAAACAAGAGGCCGTCTGCATCGGAGGCTCTGAAGCACCCTTGGTTGTGTTACCCATACGAACCTATATCATCTTGAAACTTCTTTTTGGGTGTTGTACATGTTGTGTAATAATTCTTTTAGCCTATATTCTTGTTGAGTATCCAATTTTGCACCACTGTTGGTTGGGAGCAGCAATCAAGAAAAAAAGCAAAGCTAATGATAATGTATGGAACTTGAGACTCAGATTGCATATACTTGTGTTTGGAGCAAACTAACTGGATCTTGTTAGTGCAAGGAGGAGCATTGTTTGGTTTTATGAGTTGCATTACAGATTTGTCGATCACACTCTACACTATGTTTCTGTTCCGCATGCATATGGGGAAAACAGATCTACAATATCATTTCTTGACTCCTAATACCTCCATATGGGTTGGTCTTTGCAGTTCTCCCTCATGCACTAGAAACACCAAAATATGTATCCATGTGTAGTATTTCATGGTTGTACCACATATTTCCTATACAATCATATAGTGTGTCTGAGATGATCCTAAATTAAAATACAACCTATAAAGAGCAAACCACAAATAAATCAAAACAGATAGCATAATTTGCTTTTTAAAACAACTCTTTGGTTAGGTATGCAATATAAAAAAAAACACATTCTAAAAGGATTTTAGATCCTTCTAGAACGAACTAGAACCTAAAATGGTAAATATAAAAACGTGAAAATGAAATTAACAATGGAATATGTTGTAAAACTAAACATACATGAGTGATTGAAATGAAATTTGTCATAAAATGTAACCCTTTGATGTTTGCTTTAATAAAAAAAAAACACAAGTGAGAATTTGTCATAAAATGTAATCAATAGATGTGCGTCGTGCAATTCTGGATGCTAAACCTTCATAACAAATAGCATAGCCCAGTCACTTATTTATATTAACATATGTGAACTTGAGGATTCAGTGTATGGGCACTGAAATAAAATAAGATGCAAGCAATTGAAGAGTATCTAGAACATCTTTCCAGTTCCATCCTTCCTAGGAACGGATTCATTAACATCCATCCGCTGCCAATTCCCTACTAAAGAACCCAGCTGATCAACCTTGTCATACAATCCTAAGAGCCCACCCGTATGTATGAACAGGATCTTCCTCCCTTCCCATTTCTTTGGATTTTCATTTATATCTTTCACCATTGCATAAGCAGCCTTACCACTGACAAGGAATAAACAGACAATATTCAATCAAAACATGGCCTATAGGTTGTGCTTACCAAAGAACTGTGAATTAGTAATTGATAAGTAGAGAGCTAATCCTACTATAATAAAATGGAGGAAACTAAAGTTTGTGAGTGAGCAAGATATTCGTGTGACGCACAATGGATGGCCTTTTGTTTGTGGAATAATACAGTAGTCTTAATGGCTTCAAAAGAGCTCTACGACAATATACAACGTTGGTTAAATAAATACCTGTATACTGGATCAAGAACAACCCCTGTAGCTTCAGCGGTTTCTTTTACAAATTTAAGTTCCTCAGAAGTGTTCATTGCATAGCCAATACCCTTGGCCTGTAAGCAATTAAATTTTCGTCATCAATAAAAAAAACATAGCTAAGCCAGATGATGAAGCAAGTTTTTCAGACCACAAACATGTGTTTAGATTTTCATGAAAAGAATCATATACATGTTTAAACCATGTTAATTAACAATACACTCACATTTTGTATGTGGAGAATATCTCTAGAGTTAACCCCGGCTTTGAGCCCATCAAGCAAGTCTTGGACAAAGTTGTGGAAGTAATCTGGGTCATCACAAACAGAGAATGCATGCACCTGCAAATGATTTAAGCATCATGTAAAAAAATTGGACTATGTGTCTTGTAAGCAGAAGGCATACCCTTGCTTTCAAGGTACTCAATGATGAAGCCAGTCCTAAACCAGCAATTGTGGCCCCACTGAAAATCGACAAAGGTAGGTTGTTATTGGATGAAAATATATTTGATGACAATGTTGTTTGATCATAATACAGCTTATTGATGAGTGAATAGACAATGTTGTTTGATCATAATACAGCTTATTGATGAGTGAATAGATATAGAAATATGTTGTATACTTCATTGATGTTGGAACTGTTACATTTTGAGGTATATATAGAATACAGTGCACTAATTTGTTAATAAACAGAGAAATAATTTCCTATAATTGCTTCTACCTAAATAAGGAAATGACAATTATAGATAATAAATCTATTTACACCACTGTTTTGTAACAGCTTGACAATTCAGAATCAAATGATTATGATTTGATATGCTAATCTTCAACACTCCCCCTCAATCTGGGTGATAGATGTCTATCATACCCATATTAGATTTGATATTTTCATAAGTATTCCTTGGAAGAGCCTTGGTTAAGATATCTGCAGTTTGCTTGCATGATGGGATATGATCAATACTTATAATCTTATGATCAATTTTTTCTTTAATGAAGTGTCGGTCAATTTCCACATGTTTTGTTCTATCATGTTGGACTGGGTTCTTTGCAATGCTTATAGCAGCGTTGTTATCACATAGTAACCTCACAGTATGGTTCACTTGAATTTTGATTTCATCTAGCAATGCTCTTAAGCCACATTCCTTCACAAATACCTAGGGCCATAGTTCTAAATTCTGCTTCTGCACTACTCCACGCCACTACAGATTGTTTCTTGCTTCGCCAAGTTACTAGGTTCCCCCACACAAATGAACAATAACCTGTAGTCGATTTTCTGTCTCTGGAGCATCTTGTCCAATCTGAATCTGTATAAACTTCAATGTCCCTGTTTGAATTCCTCTTGAAGTGGAGGCCTCGGCCTGGTGTGCCTTTGAGGTATTGGAGGATTCTGTTCGCCATTTTCATGTTAGACTCGGTTGGATTTGACATGTAGCGACTAGCCAAGCTTACAGCGAACCCAATGTCGAGCCTAGTGTGAGATAGGAAGATTAGTTTCCCAACTAGACTTTGATATCTATCTTTGTCGGCTGGTGGACTTTCATCTTCTCTTCCCTTTATTTGTTCTATTGGTGTATTAGCTGCCTTGCACCCAAGCATTCCAGTTTCTTGAAGTAAGTCAAGGGTGTATTTCCTTTGTGATACATAGATACCATCCTTTGTTCGAGCAACTTCCATCCCTAAAAAATACTTAAGTTGTCCCAAGTCCTTAACTTCAAATTCCTTTGCCAAGAGTCCCTTTAAATGATCAATTTGATCATAATCATTTCCTGTAATAACGATATCATCCACATAAACAATAAACAAAGCTACCTTTCCTTCCATGGAGTGTTTAACAAACATAGTGTGATCTAATTGGCATTGGTTGAACCCGTCTTTCTTGACAACTCGAGTCAATCTATCAAACCACGCCCTTGAAGACTGCTTGAAGCCATAAAGGGATTTTCGGAGCCTGCACACCATATTTGTGGTGCTAGATGATTCGAGTCCAGGAGGAATCTGCATATAAACTTCCTCTTCTAGATCACCATTTAAAAATGCATTCTTGATGTCTAGTTGATGGAGTGGCCAATCTAAATTTGCAGCCAAAGAGAGAATAACTCTAACGGAGTTTAGTTTTGCCACCGATGCAAAGGTCTCTTCATAATCACTCCATATGATTGAGTAAATCTCTTTGCTACAAGTCGAGCTTTGTACCGATTTACACTCTCATCTGCATTATACTTCATGGAGAACATCCATTTGCATCCTACCGGCTTCTTCCCTGCAGGTAGGCTTGTGATCTCCCAAGTGCCATTCTTAATTAAGGCCTGAACCTCTTCCGTTACGGCTGCTGCCCATTCAGAATTTTGGAGTGCCTCATGGATGTTGCTTGGAATATGTGTATTGTCAAGAGTTGTTACAAAGGTCTTGTAACTTTAGGACAATTTTCCATAAGATACAAATCTTTCAATGGGATGTTTGGTACAGGATCTTACATTTTCTCTCAACGCAATAGGAATATCAATATCATCAACATTCAGAGTTAGGAGCAGTATTACCTGAGGGAACGCCATTATCTGGAGTCTTGGAGGTTTCTTGGTTCTGCCTTGGAGCTGTGCAAGACTCTATTCCCTTCTTGCTCTTCCTGGAGTACACTTTCACGTTGTTTCCTGGTGCAGTTTCTGTTGTAGGGGCTGCAGTTTCTACTGCAATTTCCTCTGTATTTTCTAACGTAGTTTCATCTGGTCCACATGTAGGTTCTGCAGTTTCTGTTGCATTTTCATTTGGTTCAGGTGTAGGTTTTGATGCCTCTGCAGTGAGTTTGGGTTCAGTTAGTTCAAGTTCAAAAAGTTGGGATTCTACCACTTGAATTGGAAAGGTGTTCTCCCCCTGAATGTCAACTTTGGGGTAATATGGCTGATTCTCAAAAAAGGTTACATCCATGGTGTGGTAGAATTTTTTGTTTTGAGGTGAATAACATTTGTATCCCTTTTGGTGAGGAGAGTAGCCGAGGAGTATGCATTTAATGGATTTTGGGTCAAGTTTACTGCGTTGGGGATCAAGATTGTGCATCCAAATATTTTCAAAGGAATAGATGTAAGAATACGATTGGTTGGGTATAAGGTTTAGAGAGTGGAGTAAGGCGTATGAAAGTTAAGGATTCAGGAAGGCATTCTGTTTATTAGATAGGTTGCAGAGAGGACAACTTCACCCCAAAACTGGTTAGGTACATTTGTAGCTAGCATGAGAGATCGGGTTACTTCTGGGAGGTGTCTATTCTTTCTCTCGGCAACCCCGTTTTGCTGAGGTGTATCCACACATGAGGTTTGGTGTATTATTCCATGTTGCGTAAAGTATGAGCTTAGTGCAGAATTATAGTACTCGCGACCATTATCACTCCTAAGCACTCTAATTTTGCTTTGAAATTGTGTTTCCACCATGGTATGGAAACATTCAAATATCCTACCAACTTTCGATTTATCTTTCATAAGGTAGACCCAAGTGATCCGTGTGTGGTCATCAATAAAGGTGACAAACGATCTTGCTCCAGTTACATTTCTGACCCGCGATGGTCCCCATACATCACTATGAATAACATAAAAAGGTTTGGAAGGTTTATAGGATTGA